GAGAGAGAGAGAGAGAGAGAGAGAGAGAGAGAGAGAGAGAGAGAGACTGGAGCTTGACACCAACTTTCTATTTTTACGCAGTGATAATCATAATCTATTAACGTTCTAAGAAAAGTTTCAAACAAGCAGTGAGATTTCGTTCCGCTTCATCAGCGTTTTTCTACACACGGAAAGGTCTTTGAAGTTAATTGGAGCCCACCACATTGATTCAAGATGAGGTTAAAAGTGGAAGGGAACCTTGGAGTCTGGTCACAAACCTCTGATACCTGTGTGGCAGGACCAGCCACAAGCTCCTAGAGAGCTGAGTATCCTCGCACAGGGAGCTTCCTGGGAGACCCAATCAGGGGTGACTCAAGTGAGCACGTGACTTAACTGAGAGGCGGTGCTTGCTTTCTCCTATGACTTCCCCAGCACCGAGTATCTGGCTGAGAAACAGAAAGGTGGCAGAGAAACCTTTAGGCAGGTTTAACCTACCATGTGAAGGATGCCCATCAGAGAAATGGTTACAAACTGTAAGGTATTAGTCATCCCCATCTCCATTACTAAAGATTTTCTAAGTGCACTCACAAAATTCTTTCAGGAAATAATCTAGTGCCCAATGCCTAGGTTATTTTATGATTCAATTTAGGATCATTTGTGTGTTATGTGGATACATGTTGCTTAGCTATAAAATCAGGAAGTTCTCCCAGTTCATTCATTCATTCATTTACAATTCACTCATTTGACCATGTTCTAAGCACGTTAGCAGTCACTAGGGACACAACACTAAACACAGCAAATGCTGAACAAACATTTTTCTCTCAAAGTTGGTACGTCCTTGATTAGGTGTTAAGCTAGGGTGGTTTTTAATAATACATATTTTTTCTAGCACTTTATTCATTATTTTTTTTAATAAGGTCACCCTGTAGGCCAGGCTACCCTGGAACTCACTGATCACCCAAGCTGGGCTCTTGCCTCAGCCTGGCTTAGCACTTTGTTAGACATTTTATTCCTGTTATTACTGATATGAAAGTGCCTATTATTGTGAAGAATTTTTATATTGTCTTAATTTTTTTAGATTTATTTATTTTATTTCATATGTATGAGTATATATGTATATGCACCACGTGTGTGCCTATTGCCAACAGAGATCAGAAGAACGCACCAAATCCTCTGGAATTAGAGCTGCAGATGGTTGTAAACTACTTTGTGGGTGCTGGGAACCAAACTCTGGTCCTCTGCAAGACCGACAAGTACTCTTCTTAACTGCTGAGCCAACTCTCCAACCAACGTATCTTGTCTTTTTTAAATGCTGCCTCTTTTCATGCCTTCACACTCTCAGCAGCTGCTGAGGTTGGATAATTAGTGAAGCGGCAGTTTGTTGTGGGTTCCTTGGAACAAACACAAAAAACAAATTTATGTTTTCAGTGTTATTTGTTAAGTAGATGCACTAATGAACTTTTTTTTTCATGCCCAACATTAAAATACATCCCCAGTTTGAAACATTATCTTATAATCTGTGTGCAAAGTCCACCTGACCCCGCTCCTCACATGAAAAGTGCAATTTGAGCCACTTAGTATATGGAATCTTGTTGTTTTATATGGGACACAACAAGGAAGATGTGGAGAAAATATAAAATAAGTCTTCTCTCAGAGTCACTCTTTCTTCTTGACAGCTAAGTACCCAGCACAGGCATGGGACTGGATACCTCCAGTCAAGGCACACGCTGTCTGAAACATTAATGAAACGTCGACTGCATTGGCTTTCTTTGCTCTGCCTTGCCCATGGATGTCCTATAAACAGATTCTCAGGCAGGGCAGACACCAGCATGCTGCCCTGGTGACTTGGGCTTTCCTGTGAGAATTGCTACATGTTTCCCCTCCTTGTTTCCACATCACACAGCCTCCATGCTCACTACAGGTTTGCTCCGTTTCTGCATTTAAATGTTAAGAGAGCTAGAACTTATAAAAAGGGTGAACGAAATAGTCCTCTACACCCTGTTCCTGGATATGAACTTAGATTAAGCATCATCAGAGTTATAAAATTAGTAAAAGTTTACTAGGGAATCTACATTCCAAATGATTTCAGTAGAACTTGTTCTGAAGTGACCAAAATAGGAAGATGCCCGAGTGTCATACCTGTACAATGTTCATGCACTGTGTGTCTTAGGGTTTCTATTGCTGTGAAGAGACACCATGATCACAGTAACTCTTATAAAGGAAACATTTAATTGGGTCTGGCTTACATTTTCAGAGATTCAGTCCATTATCATCATGGTGGGACCTGGCGCCGTGCAGGCAGACATGCTGGAGGAGGAGCTGATAGTCCTACATTTTGACCTGCAGGCAATAGGAAATGGTCTAAGACACTGGGTGTGGCTTAAACATATATGAGACCTCAAAGCCCACCTCCACAGTGACACACTTCCTCTAACAAGGCCATATCTATTCCAACACACCTCCTAATAGTACCATTCCCTATGAGCTTACGGGGGCCAATTACATTCAAACCACCACACTGTGCAAACAGTGATAGTCACTGAGTTAAAATATTACTTTAAAAAGATGTATTTACATTTATGTGCACGTGCCTATTTGAGTTTTCTATGCACCGTGTGTATGCAGGGGCCTGAGGAGGCCTGAAGAGAGCTAGAGTTACAGGTAATTGTGAATTTCCCCATGTGGGTGCTGGGAACTGAAACTCTTAACTGCTGAACCATCTCTTTAGCCCCCAAAATTTCAGTTTTAAAGCCATACATTGGTTTCTCCTGATGTTCTGTTTTATACCTGTGCATTGTCAGCACCAATTATAAAGTGGTGGTATCCTAACCAACAATTTCTTTTAATTATAGAATCCATTTGAGCCTTTCTATAACAGAAAATCATAAAAACATGAATCTGATATTTATCTGTCCAATAACCTGAAACAATGCAATGTTCTTGAACAGCTCTGGGTTTGGTGGTATAATAACCTTATTCCTTGGTGGAAAATCAAGCTATCTCTTTTTGGAGCTAGTGAAATACATTGTTGAATGGACTGTTACTCTGATGCCCTGCTCTGTTCTGAAAATGCCATCAAAATTGTGGAGGGTCCAAAACAGCTTGACCACACAGCTGCCATGAAGGCTCAGGGGCCTAGACACAGCTTCTGTGACAGGCTTACTGGGAGGCAACACCCAGATCCAGGAAAAGCTATAAGCTGAAACCACCCAGGGATCCACCTAGGGATGGGGAAGTACCTGACATCCCAAAAATTCCAACCAGATGTCCCTGAGTCTAGCACACATCTATTTTTGTTTTACAGATACTCCTAGACAATTGTCAGCCAATCAGGGTCCTGAACCCTGGAAATCCCCTCACCCTGCCTGGGCTGGGGCTCTGCTCTCACTGCTGTGTCAGACAGAGTCCAAGCTCCAAGCTTGAAATAAAGGCTCTTTGTTTTTACATGCGGGATTCGGTCTCCATGATGGTCTTTTGAGGGTTCCCGAAATCTGGGTATAACATAGTCGAGTAACTTAGTAGTGGAGTAGCAGAGTAGTGGAGTGTTGGAGACCTGCTTTGGTAGGGGTTCAGGTCCCAAAGAGGATGTGTGGAGTTGGGGGAAGTGGGTGGGGAGGGAAGAGATGGACAGGATCTGAAGGTGAATTGGGATGGCTGCCAGCAGCATTTAATTGAAAAAAGACTACACCTTATATTGCACATAGTTTTAAACAGGATTGACAAGGGGCATGTGAGCGGAGTTGTGCCTTGAGATCAAGGAGTTGAGGAAGCTAGCACTGACCCTGACAAT